ACAAAGTATTGATTTTTTGCTGTGCTTATCTAAACCTCAAAGTGACAGTTGAGCAATTAAGATAGCACAATATTCTAGAGGGGAAAATGTTGGTTTCAAAAATACCCTTGACTTAAAATAGGCATGGGATATTATATCCCCAAACCAAATCAAAATAATGATCTTCTTTTATTTCCTTCTTTCCCTTTGCTTACCTCACTAAGAATAACAACACCTAAGTTGGACATAAATCCAGAATTTTATTGCCACACAACAGCAGCTTCAATTTCCCTAACTGTATTGTTGTTTTAAGATGATAATCCCACAATATATTCAGGGCACTGCTAACATTCCTTGTATTCAGCCATTCCCCAATTTTGTTATAAATTAAAATGCTATACTTTGTGTAGTCTTTGGATCAACGCATACCAAATACTGAGTTCTCATTTTTAAAATATCTCTAAATATTGAAAAATTTACTTATGTTCAAGAGTTTAGAAAGAACTCAGAGCAACACTGTGCTATAGTCAGTCTCATGTGACTAATAAAAAGGCACTTACATGGATTTTTGAACAATTAATTTTGCAACTCTCACAAAACAGACTGCGCTGAAATCAAATGAAGACAAGAACTACATAAATCTAGTAAAGCAAAGGATTAACTCAGGAGGAAACTCTATTCCAAGGTCATGCAAAAAAAGAAGAGCTATTTCTTCTAAAAAGGTATTTCTGATACTTTTATAAATACAGATTATCTCATGCCTAATTTACAGAATATCTATCTATACATGCAAACTTATTTATTCTAATACAATGTGAAATAGTATATAGAAAAAGTATAAAGAGAAATTATAAATTATATTTTGAATCCAATAACCTGTATCTCTGTCATGGAAGACATATCTAAAACAGGTCAATTTATGACTAGCCTTCCCTATCTCACAAAGCAAACAAGAAGATAAATGAGGCAATATTTTCATGAGATTCATTTCACATGAGATGCACTCCCTTTTGGTGTAATCATTTTATTTCACTGTACCATTTCTAAATCATATGATTCAAAATAATCAAAATGTGACATTGTATTCCTATTAGGAATCTCATACACATGACTCTCTCCTCTGCTACCTGGAAGTGTACCACAATCTAGGTCATACTTATCCTGAAATTAGCATAAGGAGTTAATTCATATCCAATTTTCATTATAACATGAAATACAGAAAATGTTTTACCCCCATTTAGGTCCAAATGATTTAATTTACCAGGTCAATGAGGAAAGGTTTCATCATAAAACTAAAAGATACCTGTGTCCTCTAAGAGGGTATGTGATAATCTTTCTGTTTTCCCTAAACTTGAGGCAGCTCTGAGAACTAATAATGAGTATTAGACAGCATTTTCCACTAGGTGCAACACAAAACATGATTTCACAAAACCATTTGACTGGCTGGTCTATAGATGGATAACAGTAACAACCATAGTGATCATTATAATAGCTAGAATAATTAAACATCTAATCTCTGACAAATGAGAAGCCTTTTCTCTTTCAGTTCACAGGACAACCTCAGACATTACAATATGTGCCTATAGGGAACTGATATTTCAGAAGAGTAAATAACTTGCATCAAGTAATCATACTTTAAAGCCTATTTCTTTAACGAGTATGTATAGTTTTATTTGTTTTTACTTTTCTTTCAGGTATTTGTGATTTTTGTACCACTTTCATACTGCTAAGCTCCAAAATTATTATTATTGCATAATTTGGAAAGGAAACTATTAAGATATCTATGTTAGGTTTTTTCTGGTATTGACAAGATAGGTAAAATTCATCTGACTTCATTTTTCTATTCAACAAACTGTTATTGAGGGACTATCATAAGCTAAACACCATGCCATTTATTGAGTATATAAAGATTAATAACATCTGGCCAATGAACTATATCATCAAATTGCTCACCAGATACAAAAGCCCTTTCTTATCTGTGAGGGATATATCCCTTGGATGCCTGAAATCACACATAGTACCAAACCCTATACATATTACATTTTCTCCTATACATACATACCTAGGATAAACTTTAACTTATAAATTAGGTACAGTAAGACATCAACAATAACTAATAAAAAAGGAAACAATTATAAAATATACTATAATAAAAGTTATTTAAAACTTATAAACTATTTATTTCTGGAAGTTTCCATTTAATATTTTCACATTATACTTGGCCACAGGTAACGGAAACTGTAGAAAGTGTAAATGCAGATAAGGGGGACAACTGTAATATAAAGAACAAAAAAAGATAACCATGGTAATAATGTGGTGACTGCAAAGACAGGGAGATGTTCAGGGCAGCATCCAAAGGTGGGTGGTTCGCTCAGATTTGGGAAGGCAAGTCAGAGGCAGCTTCCTAAAAAAATACCTGAGATAAGTCTCTGAGGAGCTATCCAAGCGAGAAGGAATGATCTAGTGACCCCAAGTGGAAAAGATTGCATCATCTCAAACCACCATCCATATCTCTGCAGCTTCCTGAAAACAGAGATGCCAAAGAAGCAGCCCAAATTTTTATGAGGTCACCTCAGAGATCCAAGGGCAAATAGAAAACCTGGGTGTATGAGTCACAGCCTTTCTCCCACACCCAGAGAACACTAATGTTGTAAGGTCAGGAAGACCTGGCAACCTGGTAATGGAATCCCACCCCAACCACACTGGAATCCTTATCCCTCCTGGTACCATGTTGTCCACAATGAACTCTATAACCTCAACTGAGCCAATTACACCCTTGCTGGGCCAGAGTTGGTGCCAGGCAAATGCTTCCAACCGTCCTCCCTCTAATACAACCCACTCCCCATGTTATCTGTTTATTCATGTAAACATGAGCAAGCACTCTGGGCAGCATAGACAGTGCTGGATCAATAATGGCTTAGGAGGTTTCTCCGTAGAGACACTTGAATGTTTAATGATCAAGAGGAAAGAAAGGAAAAGAAGCAAGAGAGGAAGGAAGAGAATAATGAGATTGTGCCTAAAATTTAAATTGTGGGCCTTACCTGTGTATCATGGCAGCTTGTGTCTTGTTCTAGCAGATACAATCACAACACACTCAGCCTTAGAATGGCCACAGTAAGGGTAGTGATGAAGTCACATGGGATACCCAAGGTCAGTGACTAGAGTCATCTCTCTATTCTCTTTCCCTGTAGTCAACAATTCCAAATGATGATTCTCTTACTGGGCCTCATATGATCTGATGAGGTTCAGGATTGTCTGTGGACCATAAGAAACCAAGTCCATGCCTAGACTACTTCAAGAAAATATATACAGCATACCTTAGTCCTGTCCCAGTCTCACGGCTATTAGTGATCAGCCTCAGAGCTGATGGAACTTCCCCAGCTCTGTCCAAATGATCCATTAGCCCCATGCTGGCCCAGCCTCCTACAGACCACCTGAACTGGTCCTCACCTTCAAGGCAAGGCCAGCCATGAAAAGTGGGAGAGCAGACAGAGGCTGCCTTACCCTGGCTCACATTAAACAAGGCTTTAACCTAAAAGCCCTCAACACTTAACAGATCTGCTCTCTGTTAAAATGCTCAAATGAGATAACAAAACATTTGCAAAAGGCAAATGTTATCTATAATCCCAGATACTAAGAAGGCTGAGCAAGAGGATCACTTGAGCCCTGGACACATACATACACCCACACACACGTATATGTGTGTGCATAAATACACACATAAGAGAGAGAGATACACATACACAGACTGTTGACAGAAGCATGACATGAGGCAGTCAAAATGGATGATTAAGGCTCTTCCCTGAAGATGTTCACCTAGAGAAGCCCACACCAGGGCATCCAGTAAGTCCAAATCTGTAGCAACTAGAGCAAACCAGAGTTAATTTAGGAAATGACCAACTGAATGAGACAGAGAACCCCACCAATTTTTCAAGAATCTGAAGCGAGCCTAAAAACAGCCTCTTAAAAAAGACAGCTTTTCTCTAGTAAGACACTGAAAAGCAAGACACAAAGAATAAGACTTCTTAAAGGGCAGAACCCTGGAATTAAGTTTTTAAAACTTCCCTTTATTTAAAAGAAAAAAATCACACCATCATATTTCTCTGCTTTTGTGCAATCTCCACCTGACACCTGATTCCCTTTGAATGTGGGCAACCCCAGTTGGGGAGCTCATCCAGGGTCCTGATGAAGTCTAGCACCATGCCAAGAGGTGAACCTGGTCCAACATTCACTTTTATTATTCAACATTACCATTGCCCCAATTTTCTGCTCACCCTTTTCTCCTCTCCATCTAGCAAGGATGGAGTGCTTTGAAAGTGAAAATACATGAATATATAAAAGAAAGGCGCTTGTTCCTCCAGCCTATTACCTAGAGATACAATTCCCAGTTCTTATCCTTGCTCAACCTTTCCTCTACACCGCTACCCTCAAAGGAAAAAACAAAGGGCTCCCTTAAGGTCCCACCTAAGTTGCCCCTGCTGCAGCTCCTGCTGGAACAACACTGACTCCCCCACCCCCACATCCCCTGCACTGCTGCTGCTGTGTCACAGCCAAGCCGGCCAGCCCCTGCAGTCACCTGCAGCTGCATGGGGGCGGCAGAAATCATTTTTCCAGCACGTTTCCTTCTGCCCTTCCATTTCAGGTAGAAAATGCACCTTCTATTTTAATCAAGATGTAAACCCACCCCACCCCCCACCCAAAGCTACTCTGAAACTGAAGGTAAAGATGAAGTCCCCAGAGAGGAGCCAGAGGGAATAGCTGGAGGCCTCTGCTGGGGGAAGGAAGAGGGTAAAAGGTGAGGCAGCAGCGGCTAGCAGGAACGCCAGGTGCGAAGAGCTGCCGCAGACCCTCAGCCCCCTCCCTTTGCCCGCTAGCTCCCTCCACCCTCGCGCATCGCGCCTCCGGGTCCTAGCGCCGACACAGCCTCCTTCTGGGCGGGGCTGGAAGGCAGGAGTAGGAGGCTCCCGGCACACGCACCGCGCTGCAGAGGTTGCTAATATTGGGACCTGCCGCAGAGGCAGCAGCGGGAGACCGCGGCACTGCTGTCACCCCGGGGGCCCGTTTCTCACTGCAACCGGATGAAAGACTTAAATAACCCTCCTGCCTCACACTCCTTCCCCACCCCCACTGCGCACAGCCACCCACTCAGCTCCATCCAAACGAGGGTGAGTGGCACGGCGACGCGCTAGCGCCCTTCCCCCGCCACCGACACAGGGCCGACCTACTAGCTAGCGGCCCGGGCGCCACGGGTCCCCAACCTGGGCCGGGACTTCCGCTCTCCACCAATCAAACACCGCCCCCCACACACACATACACACACACACACACACACACACACTGTGCCGAAGATCCTAAGGAGTAGCGATGTCACTTCCTTGGCGACACCTTTCTCCAACCTCTAGGATCGAGGAAGGGTGAGGAGATCTAGTTTTTTGTTCAATGCTCTCTTATTCGACCTCTGTACCTGTAGTCCTTTTCCGCTGACCCCAGAACGTGCCTCTCTCGCTTTCCCCACCCGCGTGGTCCCCACCCTTGCATCCTTGCTCTCCTCGGTGACAGTTACTGAATTTCTGGTGACTTGCTTTCGTGTGATAACTACCCTAAAGGTGACTGCATTTAAAAAAAAAAAAAAGCCATGGGGGAGGTACGTGGAGAAGCCCCAACTACAACATCCTATAATCTCTCCACACCAGGGCACCATCGTGCTGCACCAGGGAAAATTCACACAATGAAGCTGGTCCTAGCTGGCCGCGACGCCCCTGCAGCTGTGCGCCCCCTCCATACCCTGGCACTCACCGCGGACTCCCCCCAGCCCAGAGGCGGGCACTGAAGTGGGAGCGCAGAAAAACCGGCCCGCGGAGCCCTACTCTTCGAAAGCTGTTAACAATAGCACACCGCCCCCTCCGCCCGCCTCCGCGGCCCTTTGTCCCTCACCCCTTCCCCTGCAGCTCTGACCCTTTTCCTCGCCCAGGGACCCCGACCCACCTCCCGGACCACGTAGAGCCCTTCGACTCTCCAAAACCCAGCTGCGTGCTTCAGAAAGAGGGGGAGGGACAAGGAATGAGACTGCGGAGCTCAGGGATCCGACCTCCAGCCTGTCCTCAGTCCCCGCCACCAACTCTCCTGCAGCGGCGCGCGCCTCCAGCCGTTCCCACACCGCAAACCACCGCGCTGCCCCGGGCGGCGGCTGTCAGCACTGCCAGACCTACACTCACACAAAGAGAAAGCGAAGGGACTGAACTTGGGCAAAAATGAAAACTCAGATCCTCTAAATGCGGTTAGAAGTGTGTCAGACCCTGCCCACCGCCCCCAGACACGAGTCGTCCCGGCAGTATCGGGGGCGCACCCGATCCCGGTGGAAAGGGAGTCAGAAACCGAGAGCGTTTAGGACCGCGCGGAGCTATCCGGGCAGCCGCCTAGTGCGCTGCGGGGCCGGGGCGACCGAGCCCGCACCTGCCGGCCGCAAGCGCGGGAGGGCTGGGACTCAGGCTGCTAGGCGCACCTAACTGGCCGCCCACGCCACACTCTGGCTGCTCGCGCTGCCAGGCTAGTGGCCGCTTAGGACTCGGACACACTCGCTCTCCCACCCACGGCCGCCCACCTCCTGTTGTTCTGGTACTGAATGCTAAGCACGGTAGCAGCCCTTAAAGCGGCCAGCTAGAAAAGCACTTTTCTTAAAGTTCTGTCTTCCCTTGCAACAACCAGAAGCTACCTTTACTTCTGGAGTGGTGGGAGAACAGTTACATTTTAACTTAATAATTGTACAGCGAAGAGCTTTTTTTGTTGTTGTTGTTGTTAAGCGGTGAGGGGAAACGGCTAGAGAAATTTACTATTTACCGTTTTGGGCTCAGGCTCAGTAAAGATCAAAAGGAGAAAAAAACTGGGCCTCGAGTATCTGAAACTATCCTCATCTCAGGCCTGAGCCCTTCTCACCTTCTGGCATCATCTACAGTCCAACGAAGCTAAACATGTAGTTTAGATTGTGCTCCACATCTGGCATTAAAGCATGAGGAAGAAAAATCACCACAGGACTTTGTTTTTTACGACCTAGTTTAAGTGTTGTCAGGTGGGTTCACTCAGAAGTTAACTCCTTCCAACAGTCTGGTTGCCCAAACTGGCGCTTAATTTTAAAAAAAAAAGTAAAGGGGGGGGGGGAAGCTAGATTCCTCCCACCCTAATCAGGACTATGTTGGTTGACTTTGTGCTGTAGGGCTAAAGGTGCCCCAGCAGGCACGTGTGTGCAGGCATCAAAACGGGCAGAGTCACCACCCTCCAGTCTGCAGCCCTCAGTGCTGAGTCACAAATACCCTCCTAGGAAAATGAAATCCTCGGAATGCCCTTTAAAATTAGCTTGCAGCTTTTACACGGGCATGCACACACTCACATCAGAGAACCATTCAGGAAACCCACACAGGGCTGCACACTGTAGAAATTAAAAAATAGAGGTTATAACTTGAGAACTAGAAGGACAAACACCCCTGGTGAGCATTCTGTCCTTTCCCAAGTCATTTTCCCCAAAGCCTCTGTCCCTGCTATTCAGAGTCTAAAATATGACTTTCGCCCTCCTCCCAACAGAACAATCAGTCAGCAATCTTCGCCTACGGGGCTTTTCAGACACACTTGGGGGGAATAAACAATACAATTAATTTACAATTCAAGCAGAATACTTATTAGAGGAAAAGGGGAAATCTTAATCTGAGCATAATATACTCACTGCCTTAAGGAAACTGAATGCATTTTTTAAGTACTTAGTAGTTAATGATTAAAGCTTTAAACTCGTAGAATCAGTCCATTCAAAAGAAACTTCCTAAATCCGATCTTCCCATGTATTTGATGCAAAAGAACTAGAGACTTGTGTTATATTCACAAGTCATGCCCCCCCTTTAAAAAAAAAAAAAAAAAGGCCTTTCAACGTAGACTTGCATTGGTGCCAGCGACAGATCTGCAATTCCGGAGGCTTTCCCCCCCCCTGAGCTGGCAAGGCAGAGAGAGAGGAGAGAGCGAGAGACAGAAAGAGAGAAGAGAGGTCCCTTCCCGCACCCCCCGCCCAACCACCACCTTCTTCTTGGTAGTTACAGTCCAACATGTCATCGTATGGACACTATAGGGTTAATGGTATACCTACCAAAGCGGCTGTGGTCTTTCCTGGTTCCCTGGATAGTACCATTGGGGAAGATTTCTAAGTGAAATCCAGTCCTGCAGTATAGCTGCCTCCGCCTGAGAATCCCCTTTAAATGATCCAGGTCCGTGACTGCGGGTCCCCTGGGGAGCCCCCCTGCTTCGGACTGACCCAGGTGGTCACTTAACAAAACCGGGCTGTCCACCGGCAACACGGGTACATTCCCAAACGGTACCGCATCCTGTACACCGAAATAGTTCCCAACTTCACCTAAGGGAGCCATCAGAAGACTCGGCTTTTGGAGCACAAGAATAAACAATAATGATGGTGTCAACCCAGGAGATATTAGGCGAGGTATATCCAACTCCCCTCCCTTACTGCAGTTGCAGGGAGAGAGGGAAAAAAGGTTCTTTTCTTCAATCCATTAAATGCATAAATAAAAGTAATCTGCTGCTTCACTGGCACAGGTTCAAGGTCAAACCACTGATAGTCTAAGAAACCACCACTTTATACTCACACACTGACATATTGATAAGCATATCTATGTATCTCTATAGATAGATCCCCAGCTCTTAGCAGGCAGGAAGGTCTTCATCCCATCCGACCGTAATAAGGAAAAAAAATCCGTAGTTTCTCCATTTGCTTTGAGATCAGAATGACCATAGCAACTTAAATGCCTAGGCGTTATTATAGGGATTTTTAAGATGCACGGGCTACGTCAGAATTTACGGATCCTGACTCCAGGAAGGCATGCGCTGTTTTTACTCTCTAACCGACTCTGCAGACATCAGCATGAATCCGTCAAGGGGGTAAAAAAATCTCACGGTTGTGGCGGCGACAAATCTCCCCTCCCAGTCCCCCCTCCAAAAAACAATAATAATAAAACAAAAAGAAGGAAAAACTTTAGGCGTCCAAAGCTAGTATCCAGAAATCTCGAGAGGCTCGGCAGAGGTCCATTGGCTTAGAACCGGTGGCCAGCGGCAAGCGAGGAGAGCCGCGTCCGGGAGCTCGCGTGCCGCCCTGGCTGCCGCGAACAGGTGTTGCCGCGCCGGCTCGCGGAGCGTTGTAGCCGGGCGGAGCGCTCCTCCTGCGCAGCCCCCGCCGGCGCGCAGAGTGGCGCAGGCAGCGGCATTGGGCTGGGTTTAAGGTAGCGCCCGGCCGCCCGGGATCCCCGCGGTCCTAGCGCTCGTCCTTCTGCCCGCGTCGCTCTGCGGCAGGCGGGGCGCAGCCATGCAGAGCGCGGAACTTCCTGGGAAGACGGCCGAGGAACCCTTGCTTCATAAAGAAAAGCAAATGAAAGATGCACAGCCCGAGGCAGGAGGAAGAAACCCTTGGAGTCTCCTGAGACCCCAAGTTCTCCTGCTTAAGAGAAGCTGGTAAACTGAAATCTAGCTCGCTACATTGAGTGAAACTGGGAAACTAGTTTTCACGTGGACGCTGTAATTTTGCGTCGCATTATAAAATGTGACTTAGTTGAGTTGAGGGAAGGGGATGGTTTAATGGGCTTTGATGGACATGGCAGTTTTTCTTTCCTTCTTCAGCCAGACACAGAAGAGCAAACTATATTGCAGGTAAGACGGTTGAATGTAAGTCATCCCCCAGACACACACACACACACACACACACACACACACAAATACACACACTTGCCGATGTGGCCACCCTTTCGGTTTTGTTAGGGAGTTCTGCTGGGCATCTTTGCCTTAGGGCTATGTTTAGGTCCCGCCCGGCCAGGCCCCTCCGCTCGGGTCCCCACGGCCGCGGTGCTTTCGGCGGGGGGGGGGGGGGGGGGGGGCGCCAGAGAACCGCCTCTGTCCCCGAGTTCGACTCTTGCCCCAGACTAGCGCGCGCGTCTTAGGGGAGTAGGGTAGACAAGAGCGCTCCAAACCACGCTATTTAGGACAAGCTGTGCCATACTAAACCCCATTTTGGCACCGGGAAGGGAGAGGAGAATTCCAGTGTCTCCCTCCGCGGATCCTGGGGATCAGGGCGCCAGACGCTTGCGGGGCGCCCTGGGCAGTAGGCGCTCGTTCCTACTCCGTCCTGTCGCGCCGCACTTGGAAGCCGATCTCCAGTCCCAGGTTCGGGCTTTTGCTCGCGCCCATCTGCCTTCGCGCCCAGCTGGAGACAGGGACAAAGAAACTCTCTGCCCTGGGCCACAAGGGGCTCGGCCGGGCCGAGCCAGCCTGAGAGCCCGGCCCCGTTGCGCTCTGTTTCCCAGCCCACCCGCAGGCGCCCGGATCCCCAGTGGCTGGAGACGCGGAGTGCGGCGCACCCCAATACACACACAGTCGCTCAGAAGCCCGCCCGCGAGCCCTTGTCTCTTTCCCCTGCTCCTCTTTGTTCACATTGTCTCAGAAAAGGCCCGACTCTGGTCAAGATGGTGAAAGTTGCTAAGACTTGAGCGCTGCTCCAGACGGCGTGCGAGTGAGAAGCAAAGTCCAAAGCAGACGCCGGACCCCTGTGGTGGGGAAGCGAACCAAAGCCTTTTTTGGGGGGAGAAGTCGGACCCGCCTTAGAAGTCAGCTAAAGGCTGGAGGTGAAGACTGGGGTTGGCCCTATTCCGGCCTTAAAGGTTTCGCCGGAACATGAAATTGAGCAATGAATTTGCAGATTTCTGGGGTGCTAGAGGTACTGGCGACCTGGAGCAACCTTGCCTTTCTTCCCGGGGTGGAAAGAGTGCTCCGGAGGAAAGGGAACGGAGAAAGGGGGGCCTGGTGATCCTCCCCTCTTTCCATTCCCACACCCTTTGCCGCAGTCCGGGGTCATTGGGCGTCCGGGGACTGGCTTGGTTTGTCCTGCTTCCGAGTTTCTAAAGGCGGAGAGCCCTGCCCGATGGTATTTACAGTATTCACATCCGCGGGGTAGAGAGCGGGCTTTAACGTTAACTGCTCGGTGGCAGATACAAGAAGCTGGAAAGGAAGTGCCACTTCTCGAAAACCTCCCGAGTAGCTCACATTAATCACCGAGGCAACCATTAACGCTGGGTTAAGCAGGAGCGTTCCTCGACCACTTGGGTACTATGCACCAAGTTGGTTACTTTAAAAAGAAAAAAAAAAGGATGGAAGAGAAGCAAAAGCAAGAGAGATGGAGACAGGTAGCTTGCTTGATACAGAGGGAAACGAGCAGCACGTGGACATTTTCCACTGAAGTCAGTACTGGGACCGTTTCCACCAGCTGTCCAGCTGTCTCCAACCACATTCTTTCGGTCCGGATTTAGACTGTCATCCAATGAGCAAAGACCATTTCCGCTTCTGAATCCTGCAGTGTCGTGACTGTCACTTTAAAAGGCGATGCAGCATTGAAAGAGAGAGAGAGAGAGGGCAAAGTAGCTGATGGAGCACTTTTCCAGGTAGAAGCAGGGCTCCTCCGGGGCGTCTCTTTTCCCCTGCAGTTGGTTTAATTCGTCTGCATCCATAACTCCAGCTGCACGCAGTTTTCCTGTGTCCCTTTCCGTTGCCCATCAGGTTTATCTGTTACTTAATGTTCAGTCGATTTCCCTGTTTAGTAATAGAAACAATATCCTTCCCTTTCTCCCGTCATCACATCACGTTTTTCCTGCACTCACCCCACTTCTAAGGCTGACATCCTCGGGTTCCTCCACAGCTGTGGAACTTCCATATTCAGGCCTATGTGTGTGTTTTACAAGTATTCCTCAATTAGTGTACAGATGTTAAGCTCCAAAGACTGTGGCCTTGCTTTTTAAAGACACGTGGTATAGTTGGTTTGATAACACCTGTCTTGAAAGACTGGTGTTGGGAATAAAAGAATAAAAAATACACATAAAACAGGCAGTACACAACAGACACTCAAGACATTGTTGCTAACTTTATACAATTTCTTATGTAGCTGTCCCATAAAACTTCTGTCCATGGGGGTAATCAGCAAAAAAAAAAAAAAAAAA